TAAATTTACTTCTAGATATTTTATTCTTTTTGCTATAATTGTAAATGAGATTGTTTTCTTAATTTTTCTTTTGATAGTTTATTATTAGTATATAGAAACAACTAATTTTAGTTAGTTATCATCTGCAAAAAGACAGTTTTACGTCTTTCTTTCCGATTTTGATGCCTTTTATTTCTTTTTCTTGCCTAATTGCTCTGGCTAGGATTTCCAGTACTATGTTGAATAAAAGTGGCGAGAGTGGGCATCCTTGTCTTGTTCCTGATTTTAGAGGAAAAGCTTTCAGTTTTTCACCATTGAGAATGATGTTAGCTGTGAGCTTGTCATATGTGGCCTTTATTATGTTGAGGTACGTTCCCTCTATACCCAGTTTGTTGAGAGTTTTTAATCCTTTTCCCTTTTCAAAAAAATTTTTAAATGGAGAGGATATTTAGAAATGTTGTACTATATTGTTGGGCAATAAGGATATCTATTGACAAAATCCTTAGTACCTTGCAACTGGTCAATAAAATGTGGTAAAATTATTAAAAAACAATAGTATTTTTAATTCATATTTTAAAAAGCACAAGTAAATTTATGAATAGAGCATTTTGCAAGTCAACTCTTTAATTGTATGAATTTCAGTAAAAACTGTTTTGTGAGAACTATAGTACTTATGTTATTTGGAAGAATATATTAAGAGGAGCCAGAACTGATAACTTATCATTTAACAGATAATTCAGTACTGTATGACAAAGACAGCTTATGGGAGAAATCATTTTTAAAATATTTTCTTGCACAATTTATAAAATTCATATTTTATAGAAAATACCATATTGTCCAAAAATCCCTTAATTCACCACGTACCTGGGAGATTTTAGCTCTTTATCTATCTTCCCTTCAAATTTATTTAATAGTTTTTTAAAAACATAAAAAAAATTTTGTTACAGACAAGTTGCAAGAATTGTGCAAAGAGCTCCTGAATCTTTTCATCCAGAGTTAACAATTATTAACACTTTCCACATTCCTTTTCATTCCCTTTCTATATATATATATACACACATACACACATATGTAACTTTTTTCCCCTGAATCATTTGATATTTAGTTGCAAACATCATCCTTCTTTACCCCTAAAGTACTTGAATATTTAACAGTGTTGCTTGTTCCTCAGATTATCCTCAAATAAGAAGCTTTTCTGGTAGCTTTATTTTTTCACTTTTAGCAACTTTATTAAGAGGTATAATTTATGTACCATACTGTTTACTTTAGACTGCATTTTTATTCCTTCCCTCCTCTCACTGGCAGTTGCTGGTACAGTGCTGCACCTGGCTGAGCAAATGCTTTCTCTTAGAGCTGATAAAGCTGCCTTATGAAATCAGCTGACAGGTATATTATACCTACAGGTGATGCTTTTTCTCACAGAGTTTGGGTTGAGATTGACACACTCAGTGATTGCTCAACAATATACTCAACAGATACTCTAAACAAAAGACTAAATTTTTGTCCAGTTTTGTGAATGTAACTATAAAGACTTATCTGAACTCTAAATACTCAAGTTATTATTTTACAATAAATAGTATTAGCAAGATCCTGGATCTAAAAGTTATCATTTCTCTGAATTTTTGGTCTTGAAGGAAGAAAATTACTTTTGAATTAAAAAATAAAGAATTCAGGCCCTTTAGTTTTCATTATTCATTCTGGAGTAGCATGAACAATGTTTGAAATGGCTGATTTCCATTTCTGCTTTGACCTCAATCATTTGCTTAGGGTTTTTTTGTTTTTGCCTTTTTTCAATGTAATATATTGCTTGGGGATCAGTATATTTTTACTGATTTATTAGTTGTATCTAAACTGTTAGAAAGCCAAGTTTTATCATATGTAACTCCTACTTATATATTTCTCTCTTTCTCCCCCCAGGGATGAACTGTAAAAGCAACATCAGCTTGACCAGTATAATAATATTACAGTGGATTGCTCATCTCAGTCCTCAAAGCTTTTGAAAATCAACAGCATCACAGCTTGTTTTGAACTTTCTTACACTATTTTCAGCATGAAAATGTGTGGATTTGTGGGGTTTCTAATTTTTCAGAGAGGCACAGAAGCCAGATTGGAAAGAAGAAGGATGAAAAATATAAATTTGTGTATTATTACTTTAACATGCCCACGTTTTCCTTTAAATATTAAAAGAAGGGGTTCTGCAAAATGGAAAACATGGTTTGTGAATTGATTTTGAGGAGTGACTTTTCTTAGGCACTTAATTCTGTTCTGATGTTAATTTATCGGATTGCTTTTGTGCAGCAGATAACACCACCATTCACAAGTTGAGATTCTTGGTTTTTGGGTATATGTTAGATGCTACTAAGAAAATAGAGATGAGCTTCCTTTTTAAAGCTTTTGATGTGGTGTCATAGAATAGCATGTTGTAGATACAATCAGCTGCTTTGTTACCTTAAAAGTAAGCATTTGTAAATATTAAGACTTAAGGAGATGGCAGATGATGTCCCTTAAAACACTCGGCTGTTCAGATTGGACATAACTGACATAGTTCTTCCTTTTTCTCTTTAAAAATGATAGGAGACTTGTAGCTTAGTGTTGTTTTTTCTGTTTCTAACTTGCTGCTCATAATGTATATGGATTTAACATGCTGTGTAAGCTGTGTCCTAGTTACTGAACAGTTTATGCAGTGCTGCTTTGCCAAATAAAGTTAAAAATGAAAGAGGCATTGGTGGTGTTTGAATATAGAAGAACCATATGTCCACCAGCTACAGAATGCTAACATCACAGAGAAAACGTTATTTCTCTGATGCTCCATTTTGTGAGAACTGAGTAAGTTAAGAGCATTAATCTAACTGCACATTTGAGGAATGTAACTGTGTTTCTTGGGGACAAGAACTTCACCTCATTTATTATTTTTCTTTGTCTAACACGGGGCCTCTTGTAGATGTACCATATATGCTGAATGAATGAATGAATTGACTTGATGTCAAGAAAGAGCAGATTAAGGATAAATTTACCAAAACCCATCTATGACCTACAAATAGATTTATTAAGGTAACTACTGTAAAATGAGTTTAAGTCTGTAACACATTGGGATCTCGCTTAAATGTTGTGATCTTCTCTTTTAGAGCAGGATCTTAGCTTTTTTAAGGGCTCTAAATCTTAAAGAAATACACGCTCCAGAACTTATCAGAACCAGCACTCTCAGCAAAGCCCTTCGCTCTGTTGTATGCAAGTGTTTATGATTCTGGCAGGCAGAGCCTTAGAGAGGTGCTGAGGCAACTTTCCCCCACCTCTTAAGTTAAAGTATAAAATATTACTTCTTTAAAAACTTCTTTAAAAAGTTGTACATACATCTTTGACCAGTGTCTCTTCTTGGGCAAGGTCTTAGGCACAGGAAACTTGCATTAGTTGATAACCAAAACTTGTGAGTTCATTGCTGGCTTCAGTTTGCTGTGGTTAGTATTGCTTCTGGCCATGAACTTTTTTGATCCAGGACTTGCAATTTGCCATAGCTTCAAAGGTCAAGTATTCTCAAGGACTTTAAATTAATTCTTCAACTTATTCACTCATCTGTATCCTTCCTAGCCATTATCAACAATTTATGTTAAGTCTCTTTGTTAGGTCTTGGGGATAGAAAAAGGCCCTTACTCTCAAGGGGTGTGTAGTCTCCAGTCCTGTTGAGGGGACAGTTAATAAATCTGATAAGACAAACTAATAAGTGGCATCTGATTGGTAAAGACACATGCTATGCCAAGCCTTGCTCTTGGACTTCACACTTTTTGAATTAAAAAATGTTTAGGAATTTCCCTGGGAGTCTAGTGGTTAAGACTCAAAGCTTCTACTGCAGGAGCCGGGCTTTGATCCCTGGTCAAGGAACTGAAATCCAAAATGCTGTGTGGCAAAAAAAAACCCAAAAGATTTTTAAAAATGTTGAATAAGGAGGAGTGGATTTAAACAAGCACCATTTATTAATGGGTAAAGATGAATGAATTTTAACTATATGAACTTTTAATTTACATATGTTTTACTCAAAGAAGAAACCAAATAGAGCGCTACTAAGAAATCCTGCTTGAAGAGAAACTGGTTGCCCCTGGAGCCCAAGGAAGTTTCTGTTTATATATTATAATAAAGAGGGGGAAAGCCTGATAATTTCCCTATGCCTAATCTGTCCACTATCCCTGCTACCGCAGTCGTGTTGGTTCCCCACTTCAGGCTTTTTTTTTTCTAACTGACCTGTGTTGTCCGGGGTAGGATTCTTCCATGCCCGGTTGCTTTAGTTCCTAGAGTGCTCTCCTGGGCCGTGAAAGCCTGCCTCCTTTCCTCATTCTCTCTCCACCCCATCACCGCCCCCCCATCCCCACCCCCATTTCCTGTGCGGCTTTTCTTCCCTTTCCCTTCACTTCCTTCCCTTTTTCTTTCCTAACGTGAGAGGAAGTTCTAGGGCTGCTGAGTCTAAAGAACTCATTCTCACATGGGCGGAGTATCCAGGCTGGTGATGGTAATAGGATACTTTAAATATTAATACAAGAGGCAACGATCCAGGGACCTAGGGCAGCTGAGTATATCTGTATTTGATTTCCCACACCTTGAACATTACTATGCCCCTTACAGCCTTGCATCACATGGAGTAATTTCTTTTGCCAGCACTATTTGTTTATTTAGGTTTGTTGGTGATTATCCTATCAGGATTTCGCCTAAAAATTAGCTTATGGATCAAAGAGGCTGGAAAATTTAGGCATGATAACACTATTGTATCAGTTTTCAATCCATAGTAAAAATGATATTTTCTTGGGGGGGGGGAGCGGGGAAGACCTGTGCTGCCACTGTCCAGGGTCACAAGAGTAGATATACAGCATATCACTAGCCAAAGAAAAAAATTTAAAATTCAAGTATAGTTTCTATTGAATGTGTATCACTTTTGCACCATCATAAAGAAAAAAAAAAAGGTAAGTCAGGGCAACATATTAAGTTGGAGACCATCTGTACTAGTAAGTATTAAAAGTTGTAAAAAAAAAAAAGGCTTAAGAATAAAATACAATTTATTAAAGAATATTGTACACATAGACATGGGACATCTTTTTATCAAGAATTTCAACACCATAGCAATACTAAATTGTGTTTTAATTTCTTCATGTATAAAAGATGTGCTGAAAGGTGCATGCCTCAACAGTTTTTATTTTATTGGATATGGCTATAGGTGACATCCTTCTATATAAAAACAAATTGCACAGCATCACATAAAGAATACAAACATCTTAAGTTCATTCATACAGTCATTTCTCTAAACTCCTTAACGAGAAATTTAAATCTTTGCTCAATTCTAAAATTCAACAAAATGCTCGAGTTTCTCAGGAAATAAAAAATAACCAATTTCTTTGTTTTCCTACCACTAACTACCCATTTCTTAATGTGTATCTCCAACCCAAATTAAGTCCTTTACTAAAGGAACAACCTACATCAGGTTCAGTCTAAACATAGTTTTCTAGAGGGTTTTCAAGTATCTTAAAAGATTTACCACTTATGGTAAGAAAAAAAAAACTATTATATAAATAGAAGACATTATACATTCGCCTCAGTAGAGTAATTTCTAGAATGTGTATTGTCCCAGCATTAAGCAATGGTGGAAATAATATGCCTTTAAAATCCTACAGATTAAAAGGTAAAAGATGCTAAGCTAGATGCTGGTTTTCTATAAAGATGAATTTGTGCAAAATTCCCTTATGCTCTGGGAATATATAAGCCTGGCATTAGCTGTTTGCATACTGTAACATTTTAGAGCATTAAATAAATAATGGGAAAAAACTGCATCACTCCATTGAATGGAAGAATCACCAATTCTTAAGTTGATTATTCATGAATCACTGACTCTTATTTTTGCAAAAGCTGTACCCAGAGATCCATTCAGTGTTGTTTTTCCATTTGAATGTGGTTTTTTTTCTTTTTTCAACGCTAATGTTGAAAACCAGTGACTATATAAGTGAGCTGCTATATTCTGGACCATTGAACAGTGTTGAGCAGAGATCCAAGAAAGAACTCAACATCCTCCTTGCTCATTTTTCCCTCAGCTAGGTGTCTGTTAAGTTTTTGACCTGCCAGGTTCTCTGCTTCTGCTTTAATTTTCTATCTCACTTGATGACTCTGTTAGAGCTACTTGTAATCCAAAGTCTGAGTTACTCTCCTTTGGAAGAATGAAGCAGCCACATGACATGATGTCAGTCAGCCATTGGAAAGAACTGATATTTACCTTCCTGCAGGCCTCACTGACCTGATCATTAGGCTTATAGCTTAGATATTCCTGCCACGGATAACATATTGAAGGTGTGTGCTCCCTTGAGATCCATCCCCAGAAACAGGTTTTGAAGAGGAGAAGGGAAAGGAGAGGACTGGAAGCTGAAAATGAGGAAGGAGAAGGCCACAGGACAAGGGACTCGGGGTGCTATGAAGTGCCAACGGCTGGCTTCTGTGAAGTAAAGTGTTAACACCGCCATTGTCAGGCACCTCTAGAGACACTGAATTTTCTGCCTTGGCTAACTAAAAATTCCTATTTTTAGAGATAGCTTACATATATCAGAATTAGATTTGTAAAAGTCTGTAATCATGTGGACTCCTAAATTTCAAAATGTGTCACATACTTCCAATGGAAAATCAATACGTAAAAACAAAGGTTGAATATTTGCAGAATCTTCCAGGGTTTTCAGTAGTTTTCTTAGCTTAGTTAAAAACAGAAGAGGTAATAAATATCAGGACCCAAACTATGTATAAATTTTAAGTGAAACATGTCCTTGGGCTCAGCTATTTAGATTCCACTCTTATAGGTACATCCCATTTATGAGGTAGTCAGATTCCTCAGATGTGATGGGACGAGCTTGTTTAAGTTTCTGTTTCACCAGTCGTAATCGACAGGCAACCATGAGAAGCAGCAAAGCGGTGATAGCCAAACCCAGGGCCAGAGGAAGCACTGCACCTGCACAAGGCCAGAAATGAACAAGGGTGGGTCAGTGCCTAAGAACAAGGACAGCTACAAGCTACTGTATGACAAGCACTTCGCACGCACTGTTTCATTTCACTAGAACAACTCGGTAGGCACTTGTACTACTACAAGTGCTATTAACACTACAAGTAGGCACTTGTACTACCCCTGTTTGGCAGATAAACTGAGGTACAGAAAGATGAAGTAATTGGCCTAAGAGCACACAGCTTGTAAACTGAAGGTCTAGGTCTCAAACACAGACTTCCTTAAAGAAAACTTGTGTGGCAAGTTCCTATGAAATGCATATGCCATCAGCGGGTACAGATGTTGCGGTCAGACTCCCCTATATCCAACTTTAACAGACATCCTGTAAACAGACAACTGCAGAGACACTGTAGCCATAGGAAATATTATTGTAATATTTCCTACAAAAAATCATTGTAGCTTTATGGATTCATACATGATCATTCTTCATTAAAATAAATATGGACGAACTCCTGATTCCTTGCTCTGGTTAGGGCTTAAAGACATTTTTATTTCCTAAAGCCAGAGAACCTACTCTCAGCCTGTAGAACCATTATTAAAAGCTTGAGGAAGTGACTCCCCTGGTGGTCTAGTGGCTAGGACTGCGCTCCCAATGCAGGGGGTCTGGGTTCAACCCCTGGCCAGGGAACTAGATTCCACATGCCGAAACTAAGAGTTTAGGTGCTGCATCTAAGACCTGGTGCAGCCAAATAAATACTTAAAAAAAAAAAAAAAGTAAGCAAAAAAATCACTACTTCTCCATCATGGGTTCTTTTCCTGTGGGGTTGGTCCTAGACACCTAGACTAGAAGCATCTTTTAGAACCATCCAGGAGTCTGAAAGGAACAGAGTGTACCCCAGATCAGTCTGTCTTATCAAGCTCAGCAGGGTCTATTCTTAGTCCGACCTGCTCTGTAGTCAGGCCAGGCTTGGAGATGGCATGGTGGAAATATTTTTAGCTATAGGGGCCTTGCCAACTGGTGGAACTAGAGGAGCCGAAATCTCTACTGCATAAACTGACTTCATAATACTTTCTTTCATTTATTTATTCATTCATTTTGCATTAATAGCCATGTGCCTGACACTGGTAATTAAAGATAGTAAAGAGTACTTTATACATGAAGTACTTTAATTCCCACAACCACCATATGAGTTCGTACTATTTTTATCCCCATTTTACAAATGAGGGAACTAAGTTATCAAGAATTAAGTGACTTGACTAAGTACAGTACATCATACAGACAGAACGGTTTCAGAACCACTATATATACCACTTCTTCAAAAGTTAAATGAGATTGTTTTCTAATGACTTCAAATCTGGGTAAGAAAGACATTTAAATGAAAAGATACAATAAAGTATTATAGTTACTACGGTAGAATTATATACAAAGTGCAGATATAAAAAGGAGTGGTCCATGCATCTGATTCCTAGGACTTCTGCTTGCACTATTTACATGTATGATGGAGCTTATTCAGAATGGGCGAGGGAGATTATATTTTGACAGTTTCATATTGAGATGCCTAAGGCCAATCCAGGTAGAATTTTCTATTAGGTTCTTTGATTAGTTGGGCTTAAATACATGAAAGGCTGGGACTTCTCTGGTGGTCCAGTGGTTAAGAATTGGCCTGCCAAATGTAGGAGACACAGGTTCAATCCCCGATCCGGGAAGACCCCACATGCCATGGAGCAACTAAGCCCGTACACCACAACTACTGAGCTTGTGTGCCGCAAGTACTGAAGCCCACGTGTCCTGGAGCCTGTGCTCCGCAACAAGAGAAGCCACTGCAAGGAGAAGCCTTCACACCCCAACTAGAGGGTGGTCCCTGCTCACCGCAACTAGAGAAAGCTCGAGCACCGCGACAAAGACCCAGCACAGCCAAAGTAAGATAAACAAATAAAAATTAAAAACAAACACGTGAAGCCCTTTAGGATTAAGGTGGTGGCTGCAGCTCCAAAACCGGGTGAGACTTCCAGAGAGAAAGGGAAGAGAGAAGAGGGCCAGGAACAAGGCTCTAGGAGACATCAACACTTAAGAGGGCAGGCAAAGAAGAGATCCAGGAAGCATAGAAAGAGGCATGTCAGAGGGATGGCTGGCAACCAACCGAGCAGGCAGTCCTGGAAGCAGAGGGCCGAGGCTATTTCAAGAGGAGAGTGGTCAGCAGAATCGAATGCTAAGGAGAGGTCAAGTGAGGTGATGTCTGGACCGGCCACTGCGCTTAGCAATTGGGAGTTCATTTACAGAGAGACTGAAGGCTGAGGGATGCCGTTTTGTTTCCTGTGTGTTTTGAGAGAGCTGAGTGTGTCTAGGGGAATGAACCAGTGGAGACTATAAACATGGGGAGTTAATAAATGATGGAAAAACAAACTTGAGGGGATAAGAAGCTGCAAGGTCCTTATCAGGGACTTTGACAGGTCCTTATCAAAGTCAGGGCAGGATACTGACCTTGGAAAAAGGGGAGGGAAGGAAGAGAGGGTGGGGGACTTCCCTGGTGGTCCAGTGATTAAGACTCCACGCTCCCAATGCTGGGGACATGGCTTTGATCCCTGGTTGGGGGACTAAGATCCCACATACAGCACAGTGGGGCCAAGAAAGAAAAAGAAAGGGTGGGTACTGACAGGTATTGGGTGCAAGTAACCAAGGAAGTTCACTCCTGATGGTGGTGCTTTAGTCACTAAGTCGTGTCTGACTCTTGCAGCCCCAGGGACTGTAGCCTGCCAGGCTCCTCTGCCCATGGGATTCACCAGGTAAGAATACAGGAGTGGGTCATCATGCCCTCCTCCAGGGGATCTTCTCAACCCTGAGATCGAATTTGAGTCTCTTGTGTCTCCTGCATTGACAGACAGGTTCTTTACCACTAGCGCCACCTGGGATAGCTTTGATTTTCTGAGCTTAAAATCATTCCCAGGTATAGCTGGCCTCCTCTCCAAGACAAGAGGAGCTGGAGCTGAGTACACACTAATGGCATTTCAACCTCTGGTATATTTGTGGAATCCTAGGTAAAACTCCTGAAGAAAATTCTCAAGAACATTCTGGCATTGTCTGGGTTCAGGAGGAGGGGATAACGAGGTTGCATCAGTGAGTCTTGATACAAAACAGTGTTTTGAGTGAGGCCAGTATTCCCAAGGGCTTCCCAGGTAGCTCACTGGCAAAGAATCTGCCTGCCAATGCAGGAGACGCTGGAGGCGTGGGTTCGATCCTTGGGTCGGGAAGGTCCCCTAGAAAAGGAAATGGCAACCACCACAGTATTCTTACCTGGAAAATCCCATGGACAGAGGAGGCTAGGAGGCTACAGTCCATGGGGTTGCAGAGAGTTGGACATGACTGAGCACACATGCACAGTATTCCCAAAGAGAATTGTAAAAGATAAAAGTCTGTGTTAAACCAACCATCTAGAATTTGACTCTCGAGCTGGTGCATACATTCCAGTTTCCTAATGGTAACCCAGAGGAACGAAGTTCTGAAAGGGCTCAGTTTGGCCCTGAAGGTGTCAGTTTCCCTGCATCTTCTGGTACTAGTCACAAAGATGGATAGGTTACAAAGGATCTGGATAAAAAAGAGACTTTGGTCAACCCTAGGAACCTAAAACCACTTCTTACAAACTGGATCCCAACACCCAGCCCCAGTTCTGCTTGTTCAGGGAAGGAAATTGATTACAGGCTGCTTTTCTAAATGCATGTGACTTGTTTGAAGATGAACGCCAGCGTTTAGGCTTCGGGAGAAAAGAGCTGTGATTGAAGACCCCAGTCCCAAGAATGGGACTCAGAGGGAGCTGTGGCAATCATAAAACAGCATATAATCTAAGGGGATTTTCTGTTTGCCAAAGTCAGATACGGGCTTCCCAAGTGGCTCAGTAGTAAAGAATCTGCCTACAAATGCAGGAGATGAGGGTTCAGTCCCTGGGTCAGGAAGATCCCCTGGATAAGGAAATTGCAACCCACCTCCAGCATTCTTGCCTGGGAAAGCCCATGAACAGAGGAGACTGGCAGACTACAGTCCCTGAGGTCACAAAAGAGTTGGATACAATTTAGCGACTAAACAACAACAAAAAGTCAGGCATAGGGTTTCTCTATTGTCAGAGCTGATTCCCGGTTAATGAATCAAGAATGATTTATTAATCACTTTGATGACAAAGAAGATGAAGCCTCCCGTAAAGTACTTGCTAGGATACTGAAAGATATTTTCAACTTTTAAATACTTAGTTGGCATACTTTAATGCTTTTAGTTCAGGTAATTTAAAATTTCCCTCCCTCTTCTAAGGGCTTCCCAGGAGGCGCTATTGGTAAAGAACCCGCCTGCCAATTCAAGAGACATGAGATGCAGGTTGGATCCCTGGGTCTGGAATATTCCCTGGAGAAGGGAATGGCTACCCACTCCAGTATTCTTGCCTGGAAAATCCCATGGACAGAGGAGCCTGGTAGGATACAGTCTCTGGGTTCGCAAAGAGTTGGACATGACTGAAGCGACTTAACACACACACACACACACACACACACTTCTAAAACACACCATGCTAGTTTTCTCAGGAATGAGCTAAGTAGATGGACTTCTGTTCATAAGACTGGGAGTGACACTCAGGTGTGTAACGATTAGGACAGGCCCTGGGCAATCAGAACCGAGGGTCTCTGGACACATCTGGCCATGGAGGCAAGGGGCGAGCCCTGTTCTCTGTGTCTGTCGGCAGGGGGCGGGCTCTTCTTTTTTCTTTAATTTATTTTTTGGCTGCAGCACTGGGTCTCCGTTACTGTGAGCAGAGGTGGTTACTCTCTGGTTGTGCAGCGCTGGCTTCGCATTGTGGTGGCTTCTCTTGTTGGGGCGCACAAGCTTAATTGTTCCACAGCGTGTGGGATCTCCCCGGAGCAGGGATTGAACTGGCGTCCCCTGCATTGGTAGGCAGATTCTCAACCACTGGACCACCAGGGAAGTTTTTATTCAAATATCCTGGGACAGCTAAGTCCAGCAGGTCCACAGACTGGGCAGCATCTAGATACTTGATAACTGGATATTTTATTATTTAAAATTTTATTTGTTATTTAAAATTTATGTATTATTTAACAATGTTATTTAAAAATTAGATGTGACCATTGTTATGAGACTACTTCTGGGGTAAAAAGAAAGTTTTCTCAGTGTTTAGATCTGTAGCTTAATAATCATATTTTGTTCTCCTAAATTGTATTTTACTAATTTGTTTGTGAGATTTAGGATCAAAATCTACCTTTATACAGGACTATGTTGAAAGTGTTTCCTGTCTAGTTAAAAATAACCAAAACCATGAAATTCCAGTATTCTTCTTCTACTTACTAAATATCCCCTCTACCTCCTGCACCCTTTCTCCATTCCTGTGTCTTCCATTTCTTGTCACTGAAGCACTTGGAGAAAGAACTGTATACTCTAACATCTCTGCCCTTGTTGATCACAAATAACAGTCATAATAGCCATCATTTATATGGCTTATCTCATGAGTCAAGCAATATGCTAAAAGCTCTGTAGTGATATCCTATCTATTCTCCCTAACAGCTCTGGGTATAGTTATTACACCCATCTGACCAATGAGGAAATTGAGACCCAGAGAGAGAAGATAACTTGGTCATGGAGTTAGTGATGGAGCAGGGGATCTAAACCTTGGCATCTGATTCTAGAGCCCATGTTCTTAACCACTGTGTCCTGAGTATTACTCATTCCACAGAATGTTACCCCTGGAAAGGGACTGTAGTGATCATCCACTCCAGTCAACTTATAGAACAGAAAGCTGAGGACCAAACCTGTGAAGATACTAGTTCAAGAGCCCCAAGATGAAGTGTGATATAGGAGATGAGAATTTACAGTTTTTCCGACCCATAGATCCCTGTTCTTGTCATGAACTCTTGTAAATTTGCTTGATAACCTCAGCTACAGGATACATGGTCCTGCAATTGTTCTGACCCTGCAATGAGTTTCCAAGGTGAACATTTACCTGCTTCTGGGGCTGGGTGTTCCCCTCCTGCTCGATTGCTCTTTGACTCAAAAATATAATTTTCCTCTTTTCTATTCTTCCCTGAGGAATCACCATCTGTGGAAAATAATAAAACATACTGAAGGCTCATCAGAAACTTCAGGAAATAGACATGAAAATACAGCCATATATTTTTTTTTTTAGGAAGAGCTTAAAGAAAGGACTTACAGGCTTTATTTCTCCAATAAACATAGGTCTATATCTGATACTAAAACACAAGATAACCAATGTGACCAACTGAATAACACAGAGTTGAGGCTACTGGAAAACCACTGGACAGAGATGGGAAACAAGCTCACCGCTCCAGAACTTTCCCCTCAGCCCCCCCTACCCCCCTACCCAGAGAAGGAAAGAGAAAGCTCAGCTAGAAAAGCCAAGGGTTAGGGTTGGACTTTATAACATAGAACGCAGAAACAGTCCAGAAACTTTTTTTTCTTTAGAAACTGAACAGTGAGCACATATAAATCACTCACACAAACTATTTCACTTTCTTACCTCAATGCTGTTTGGCAGGTTTATAGCTCTGTTGCCTTTTTTTTTTTTCTGGTTAGTCTCAGAGAGGTTCAGTGCTTACCCGGGTTCATTCAAGTAATCAGTGAGTCATAGGGTTGAGATTCAAACTCAGATGTGTCTAAGTGTTATTGGTGGAAACCGGCACTTCTGATTTAATGATAGCTTGCTCACTGTTTACCTGTTCTACTCAGTTATAATATACTCCTGAGAGTAACAGAAGATTAAATCTTAGAATTTTCATCTCAGGTTCTGATGAGCCATGGCTGTGTCATTCTATTATCTGCCATCTAGGAATTCACAGCACTTGTGTGCTCAATGATACTGATAATAATGAAAGAGTTAGTGGAGTTGCCCTTACACGGAAGTGTAATTTCAGGTGAGACTTTTGCAAAATAAAATGCTCAATGGAAATGAATCAGAAGTGATCTGCTGACATGAGGAGTTTTATGAAGAAACAAACAAACAAAAAAACTTTAAAGCTTCTTCAGCATATTGAAAACCAGAGATATTACTTTGCCAACAAAGGCTTGTCTAGTCAAGGCTATGGTTTTTCCAGTGGTCATGTATGGATGTGAGAGTTGGACTATAAAGAAAGCTGATTAAGCCAACTTTTTCACTCTCCTCTTTCACTTTCATCAAGAGGCTCTTTAGTTCTTCTTCACTCTCTGCCATAAGAGTGGTGTCATTTACACATCTGAAGTTATTGATATTTCTCCCGGCAATCTTGATTCCAGCCTGTGCTTCACTGAGCCAAGTGTTTCTCATGATGTACTCTGCATATAAGTTAAATAAGCAGGGTGACAATATACAGCTTTGACGTACTCCTTTCCCAATTTGCAACCAGTCTGTTGTTCCATGTCTGGTTCTAACTGTTGCTTCTTGACCTGAATACAGATTTCTCAGGAGGCAGGTCAGGTGCTTGGTATTCCCTTCTCTTTAAGAATTTTCCATATTTCGTTGTGATTCACACAGTCAAAGGCTTCGAGGTAGTCAATAAAGCAGAAGTAGATGTTTTTCTGGAACTCTCTTGCTTTTTCGATGATGCAGCGGATGTTGGCAATTTGATCTCTGGTTCCTCTGCCTTTTCTAAATCCAGCTTGAACATTTGGAAGTTCACGGTTCATGTACTGTTGAAGCCTGGCTTGGAGAATTTTGAGCATTACTTTGCTAGTGAGTGAGATGAGTACAATTGTGAGGTAGTTTGAACATTCTTTGTCATTGCCTTTCTTTAACAAATAGATTCAAGGGGTTAGATTTGATAAACAGAGTGCCTGAAGAACTGTGGATGGAGGTCATGACATTGTACAGGAGGCAGTGAATAAGACCATCCCCTGGCAACCCACTCCAATATTCTTGCCTGGAGAATCCCATGGACAGAGGCGCCTGGTGGGCTTCAGTCCACACGCAAAGAGTCGGACACAACTGTGTGACTGCCACTTTCACTTTTTCACCAGTGCTGAAATTCCTCATGGCTCCAGTGGTTCTGTGAACAGGGGTTTCCTCTCGGTATTTCATTGGGTGAGAAAACGGAGCATTTAGCTAATCTTTCAGATACTCTGTTTTACACTCAAAACAGTTCAGTGACTGCCCAGTATCCATCTTCACACACCCTTTTTGCATTCCCTTTACATCATAATCCCTGTTTCTGTTCTTGCTTTTTAGACTAATTCATTGGTACCCTTTAAATAGCCACCAAATCTCATTGTATAGTCACCCACATATTTTGATCTCTGTTGCTTCCAAGGTAGGCTGTCTCTGATGGCTCAGCAGTAAAGAATCCACCTGCAATGCAGGAAATGCGAGTTTGACCCCTGGGTAGGGAAGATCCCCTGGAGAAGGGAATGGCAACCCACTCCAGTATTCTTGCCTAGAGAATCCCATGGATGGAGGAATCTGGTGGGCTACAGTGGCAAAGAGTTGGATACAACTTAGCAACTAAACCACCATCATCTTCAAGGTATTAGTCATTTTTACATTCACCTATTCGTTGTAAAATACTCTAGTAGGTAACAAAGTTCATCTTCCTAATGACTTATAGGGTTTCTACAGTGATTAACAAGATTTGGATTAAACAAATCTGTAGTGGGGTGAAGAATCAAATAAAACAGAATTGCTTATTTTGCTTTCTGAAAGACTGGTTGTCTGTTATACAAGAAAATATCATAGGACAGTGATAATGACCTTTAATTAAGACTCTTTTAGAGACGTCACTTGTAAGGGGTCTAATGCTCAGAATGCCACCACCGAACTTAAAGCTCATAGAGAATGTAAAGACAAAGCAAATAGGTCTAAGAATATTCCTGCATAAATTGTTTTTATTTAATGAAGAATGTAAACCTTCAGTGTATCTCTCAGACACCCTAGCGCTGCTCACAGAAGGTGCTGCCACTTACGTTTGATGTGCTATCCCTCTGGTTCTGAATGTTCATTGTTAAAACTGGGAAATAAGATGGAAAAATGTATCTGGGTGGAAGTGTCACTCTGTTGATTTGTGAGCTATGAATGTTCACCTTTTAAAAATAATTTAAATGTATACACAAATGATTAATATTTAAGTTGATATAGCAGCAAAAAAAAAAAAAAAAAAGAGCCATCCTGTACTTTGGTTGTTGCTTTAATAAAGGATTTGCACAGGTGTTAAAAAAAAAAAAATACCATCCCCAAGAAAAAGAAATTCAAAAAGGCAAAATGGTTGTCCAAGGAGGCCTTATAAACAGCTGAGAAAGGAAAAGACATAAAAGGCAAAGGAGAAAAGGAAAGATACACCCATTTGAATGCAGAGTTCCAAAGAATAGCAAGGAGAGATAAGAAAGCCTTCCTCAGTGATCAATGCAAAGAAATAGAGGAAAACAACAGAATGGGAAAGACTAGAGATCTCTTCAAGAAAATTAGAGATACCAAGGGAACATTTCATGCAAAGGTGGGCACAATAAAGGACAGAAATGGTAGGGACCTAACAGGAGCAGAAGATATTAAGAAGAGGTGGCAAGAACACACACAAGAACTATACAAAAAAGATCTTCATGACTCAGATAACCACGATGGTGTGATCACTCACCTAGAGCCAGACATCCTAGAATGTGAAGTCAAGTGGGCCTTAGGAAGCATCACTATGAACAAAGCTAGTGGAGGTGATGGAATTCCAGTTGAGCTATTTCAAATCCTAAAAGATGATGCTGTTAAACTGCTGCACTCAATATGCGAACAAATTGGAAAACTCATCAGTGGCCACAGAACTGGAAAAGGTCAGTTTTCATTCCAATCCCAAAGAAAGGCAATGCCAAAGAATGTACCAGAATACTTGGGTATATTTAAAGGTGTCTGCTGATTGTAGCTCATTAGATGATATTTTCCAAAGAAGTTATGTCAATGAAAGAGGACCTACTCCCTTCAAAATAAGTTTGTGGAAATGGCCATCTGATTATCTTCATTTGTGACAAGTACATTTATTTAACTAAATATTCCATTCATTTGAGAATACAGTTGATTCCCACTACCACACAGGAAGACAATAAACTATTCAGAACAAAAACATGAAATATGAAGATCTAAACGTAAGACTAGAAACTATAAAACTCCTAGAGGAGAACATAGGCAAAACACTCTCCGACATAAATCACAGCAGGATCCTCTATGACCCACATCCCAGAATTTTAGAAACAAAAGCAAAAATAAACAAATGGGACCTAATGAAACTTAAAAGCTTTTGCACAACAAAGGAAACTATAAGCAAGGTGAAAAGACAGCCCTCAGATTGGGAGAAAATAATAGCAAACGAAGCAACAGACAAAGGATTAATCTCAAAAATATACAAGCAACTCCTCCAGCTCAACTCCAGAAAAATAAATGACCCAATCAAAAAATGGGCCAAAGAACTAAACAGACATTTCTCCAAGGAAGACATACAGATGGCTAACAAACACATGAAAAGATGCTCAACATCACTCATTATCAGAGAAATGCAAATCAAAACCACAATGAGGTACCATTACACGCCAGTCAGGATGGCTGCTATCCAAAAGTCTACAAGCAATAAATGCTGGAGAGGGTGTGGAGAAAAGGGAACCCTCTTACACTGTTGGTGGGAATGCAAACTAGTACAGCCACTATGGAAAACAGTGTGGAGATTTCTTAAAAAGCTGGAAATAGAACTGCCATATGACCCAGCAATCCCACTTCTGGGCATACACACCGAGGAAACCAGATCTGAAAGAGACACGTGCACCCCAATGTTCATCGCAGCACTGTTTATAATAGCCAGGACATGGAAGCAACCTAGATGCCCATCAGCAGACGAATGGATGAGGAAGCTGTGGTACATATACACCATGGAATATTACTCAGCCATTAAAAAGAATTCATTTGAATCAGTTCTAATGAGATGGATGAAACTGGAGCCCATTATACAGAGTGAAGTAAGCCAGAAAGATAAAGACCATTACAGTATACTAACACATATATATGGAATTTAGAAAGATGGTAACGATAACCCTATATGCAAAACAGAAAAAGAGACTCAGATGTATAGAACAGACTTGTGGACT